GGTGCGGGGCGGCGCGTGGCGGGACGGCGGTGACACGCGTGAGGGGGGGTTAAAGGCCTGTGGGGTGGGGGAGCAGAGGCCAGGACACAGATGGGCTGGGGAGGGGTATGGAGAGGCTGTGTGATGGCATCTTCTTCATGTAAAATAAAGATATCTATCAGGGATAGATTTTTTTTTTTTAATATTTTTTTTTAATATATTTTTCGTTCATGGATTTCTCTGAGGAGAAGGATCTGAGAGACCCTAGTGGACAGCAAACTTCCCATCAGCCAACAGTGTGCCCTTGTTGCCAAGAGGGCCGATGGGATCCTGGGCTGCACAGGGAAGAGTGTGGCCAGCAGGTCGAGGGAGGTCATTCTCCCCCTCTGCTCTGCACTGGGGAGGCCACAGCTGGAATGCTGTGTCCAGTTCTGGGCTCCCCAGTTCAAGAGGGACAGGGAACTACTGGAGAGAGTCCAGCGTAGGGCAACTAAGATGATTAAGGGATTGGAGCATCTCCCTTATGAGGAAAGGCTGAGAGAGGTGGGACTCTTTAGCCTGGAGAAGAGAAGGCTGAGGGGAGACTTTATTAACGCTTACAAGTATCTAAAGGGTGGTTTGAGGGAGGATGGAGCCGGACTCTTTTCAGTGTTTCCCAGTGACAGGATGAGGGGCAACAGGCACAAGCTGGAACATGGGAAGTTCCACTCAAATATGAGGAAAAACTTCTTTCTGTTGAGGGTAACAGAGCCCTGGAACAGGCTGTCCAGGGAGGTCGTGGAGTCCCCTTCTCTGGAGATCTTCAGGACCCACCTGGATGCCATCCTGAGTGATGTGCTCTGGGCAATCCTGCTTTGGCAGGGGAGTTGGACTAGATGCTTTCTAGAGGTCCCTTCCAACTCCAACAATTCCATGATTCCATGTTTATGTATGTTGGCTCGCATCCATTTCAGCAGTCATCAACCTCAGCATCTGCTCATGCTGTCTCCATGCTCTGATCTAACTCTGGGGCCTGTTGTCGGCTGCATACTTCAGGTGTTTCCAAATAGCGAATATTTTTTTAGCCTGAATCAAACTTTGTTTTGATAGCGGTTAGAAACAAAATGCAGGTAAACAGCGCTGTAAGATGAGAAAACTTTCACTAGATCACAGAATGATATGGAGTTGGAAGGGACCTCTGGAGATCGTCTAGTTCAACCCCCCTGCCAAAGTAGGTCCACCCAGAGCAGGTTGCACAGGAGCATGTCCAGGCCCATTTTGAATGTTCCCAGACAAGGAGACTCCACCACCTCCCTGGGCAGCCTGTTCCAGGGCTCTGCCACACTCAAAGTAAAGAAATTCCTCCTCATGTTTAGGTGGAACTTCTTATATTCAAGTTTGTGCCCATTTCCTCTTGTTCTGTCCCTGGGCACCACTGGAAAAAGACTGGCTCCATCGTCTTGACACCCTCCCTTTAAGTATTTATAAGCATTGGTCAGATCCCCCCTCAGTCTTCTTTTCTCCAAACTAAAAAGACCCAAGTCCCTCAGCCTCTCCTTGTAAGA